TGCCAAAAGTGGCAGGATGTTCTGATCATCACAAACTTTACTTAAGTTGTGGTTTTTATAGAAAAATACAAAGGAGGAACGGAGGGAACGTTTAAAAAAAAAGTAATAAGTGAGCAAGGGGGGAGAATGCAAATGAAAAAAAAAAGTGGGGAGAGGGGGGGAAAAAATGGAGAGAACAGCGGAGTAGAAAGGGGTGGGGGGGCAGCGAGAAGGCAGCCAGAGAGCCACATATGGAAGTGATTCTGTAATTACTGCAAATCTGTGAGCTCAAAAGGAAAGGTCTTCTTTTCCATGCCTCCTTCCCTGCACATAAAACTGCCCTTGTGAGAAAGCTGGGCACTAAATACTGCCTACAGGGAAAAAGGAAAACACTGCGTTTTTTGTTTTTCTGCCTGAGCTTTTTGGCATGTTAGGATGCAGAATAAATACATTCACAGATTTGAAAAATTGAGTTTGAACAAAAGGCCTGTTCTTCGGATCATGGGGCTAATGCCACTAAAGTCTCCCCATTCTTTTCTCGTTTGGCTCGACTCTTGCGACTTTTTGGTTCATTATTTGAAAACAAGAAGTATGATAAGAGGTGCGGGGGCTGGAATAAACTTAATTGTCTCATCGGCTAGGGCTGGTATAATGCTCATGAAGCGCACATTCAGCAGGATAGGGGTGTCTGTGCGTGCGTAAGAGAGAGAGAGAGAGAGATGATTGGGGTAGGGAGGGTGACAGGCACACAGACATGTGAAGACTTTCAAGCCTCTGGCTAAAGTACAGTTCTGCAGGTGCGTATGTTGGCAGCCGCTTCTTGCTCTGCTCCAGTCCCCGAACCGAGCTCCAGCAGCCCTGTAATTATCGGCTGCCCTGCCACAACGTGTTCTCATGATGAGTAAACACGCGCCCGGGTCGACGCAGCTCAACACTGAGTTTATTCATAGATTCACATCCACTTAATTACGACAGGAGAGGATTTATGTAAAATAAAAATGTAAAAAAATAAAAATAAAAAATCATACCTTTGGGAGTCAGATGAGTGCATGCCTCGGCTTCAGACCGGAGAACATTTCAATAAACCAGAAGTTGCAAGGGCACAATCGAAGTTTGTGACGAAAGTGTTGGAGGGGGTGAGGATAAAAACAAAACTAAAAAAAACTAAAAAAGAAGAACATGAGAAGTGTTCAATGGAGTCCAGGTTGGCCTTTCGGTTTTCTTCAGAGAGGGTTTCAGTCACTTGTCAGGTTGCCTTTTGTCAGTTGCCAGCCGGCCACTTCGTCCCGACAGCTCAGGGGCGTTTATTGGCGTCAACAGCCTGTGAGAATTTCTCAACACTCTGGCTCCCTCTAGTGGCGTTAAAGAAAAGCGCGGAAAGACTCCTCTGGAAAGGACAATAACGCTCAAGAGGGTCATTTGCGTTTTTAATGTTTTTTTGTTTTTTTGTTTCTTTCTTTCTTTCTTTCTTTCTTTCTTTCTTTTTTTCGTCAGAATGATTTTGTTTATTAAGTCCATGGGCTATTCAAACCAACCTAACCTTGTGAAAAAACAGGAATCTCCAAACAACCTAATAACTGCTTATGCCACTGGCGGCCAACAAGCTGCCACCTCCAATAACTGGACATGTGTCAATATGGAGGAATTTTGTCCCACTCGTCTTTGCAGAATTATTTCTCCTCTGCTTATTTCTTTCACATGAATAGCCCTTTAAGGTGACGCCACAGCAGTTCTTCAGTTGGATTTAAGTCTGAATTTTGACTAGGCCTCTCTGAAATGTTAATTTTTTGCTTTGTTTCATCCATTCATTGATAGATAAGTTATGCAATAGTGCAGTCAAATTCAAGAACTTAAACTGAAATTTGTCTTCACCGTTTTCTGATAAATATAAGAGGATGTACATTTCTGAAAAGTGTTCCATTTTCCTATTGTAAATTTATAGATTTTTTTCCCCAAAAGTCTGACTTCATTTACATTTTGAGATAGGCCTTTGTGATTCTGCTGGTCATCAGTAGTTAGGGCTTTGTAACTGTAGAGGATGTCATTTTTGCCAGTTCTCTACTAGTGAGGCCTGCAGTGCTTCAGATGTTCTTATAGACTATTTTGGGATCTCCTGGATGAGTTACCAGTGAGCTCTTGGAGTTTTGGACACTTTTAGAAAGCATTCCTGTGTATTTTGGGTCCAACGTCAGACTATCTTTTCTTGAAAGTCTTTATATTTCTAATTCAAGAGTTTCTGGACAGATGCTGTACTTATTCACATGCTTCCTGTGGTTAATATTATGATGAAGTAAGACATCTCTTTGCATTGCAAGACTTTTAATAATCATTTGTTATTGTTTTACTTCAACTACATTCTTGTTTTGAAAGTGGATGACCTCTTATTTTCTGAATCTAGCTAAAAGCGTAGTAATTATTTTTAGTCATGAAACAGCCTGGGATTCAGTGTCTAACAATTTATTTGTGTTTGACATTGCCATAGTATTTTAGCCAGCACATTTATTGGGAACTTTAAGACTATCTTGTTCCGAATGTAGGCTGAATTTATGCACACAACCGTGGCATCCAAGCAAGACACTTCCAATGCAGTTTTCTCATAGTTTGCAAATATAACCCTTCCTTCTTCTCCCTCCCCCCTACCCCCAAAAATCATGCAGCAGGTTACACCCAGAGTTCCAACAGGTGTCCAAAAAAAGAGATCACATTTCTCCTTTCTTGGCATCGCTGCACTGGATTCCCTTGTAAAGTTTACAGAGGAATTTATGATCTTTCTTATTGCATACAAGGCTCTTAATGGCCAGGCACTGTATTATTTACAAGAGCACCTTGTTCCCTATAACCTAATGGGAGCCCTTTCACTCTCAGTATGATGCCGTACTTGCCGTTGCAAGAATTTCTCAGAACTGAATGGAGGCAGAGGTTTTAGACGAGCTCCCCATTTGAAAGCGCTTTTTCGCTGCGTTTAAGACTAAGCTCAAAGCTTGCCAAATAGCAGATGGAAAAAAACAGCCAATGTTCAAAAAAAAACTTTTTATAAGTTCATCAAATTATATACTTTGAAAAACTAAAAGAAAATTTGGCTTCTTTTCTCCCCCTCTCCTAATAGGTTGGTAATGTACTTTTCCAAAATAAATACGATGTGCTTACCCTAACACAGGGGTTTTCGAGAAGTTTCCCTGACTCACAGAGTTAATAGACAACCCTGCTTCAATTGTTGCTATAATTTCTGTAAATTGTTTGCTGTTGCTATGCTTGATGTTTCATTCATACATGTTTCACGGATGTTGTGGGGTCTACTATATTGCCTTGTAATTTAAAGTGCCAAAATAATAACCCATGGTCATACTTCTCTTTTTCAATATTTTTTTTGGTCCACACTCTGTGTCCGTATTCCCCATAGCTTAAGATCTATCCAATTTCTCTGGCACAGGCTTGGTAAAGTTGGTCAAATGTTTGCAGTTATTTTTTTCTTCTTTTTATTGCACCAACCTCCACACACACACACATACACACACACACACACACACACACACACGCATACACACACATTGTGAAAGACTCTTGCGCCCCCATTGGAGAGGCACATACTACACGTTGGAAATTCCTGCCCTATACTGACCCACTTACCAAGAGGTTGTCTTCCAAAGAGATAAGGTTACAGGCAGAAATTTGGAGAAAGCAGAAGAAAAACAAAAAGAGAAAGAGTATGGCAGGTTTTGGTGTCGCTTGTTCCTGCCACAGGTGTTTTAAAATTACTCATTTGACCTGATAGTCAATTTTACCAGAACTTGAAATGTACGTTACATGCAGTTGTTTTTAAAATAAAAGTAATGCAAAAATTAGATAGGCTACTTCTTAAATTTGGGGGGGATTTTTTTTTTTCATCTTTTTACATGACCAGCCAAAGCTATTTGTCTGGAGCTCAATTGAGATTGTACATTTAAGTTTAAATAAAAGAGTTCTAGAATGTGAAATCTTAGTTTGTCTATATCTATCATTCATTTGCATTATCGAGTTGTATAAGAGAAGTTTAGTTCTGTATATTTTCAGGAAGGACGGCTGGTTTTAAAATGCTGCGACCTGATAACGCAAAAAGGCAGAACAAAAACACATCGCCCTGATCCTATTAGTTTCACAATGTTTCTTAATTTTAATCAAGGTTTTAACTCGAAGGCAAATCGGCAACGCGTTGAATCGAATTATGTGAATTGCCTTAATGTTTTAAATTCTCCTCGACAGATGTCAGTACCATATGTTGCCACTGAGGGCCGCTTTATGCAAACTGCAAATCGTGAACGTTGCATGTTTATTGTTTGTTGATGGCTTTGAATTGTATCTCAGACATTCGGATTGTCAAGAGTCACTTGACAGTTACCTTTACTGTAGCATTTACATTGATGGTAATAAATAAATAAATAAATAAATAAATAAATAAATAAATAAATAAATAAATAAATGAGGGGAAAAAACATTTTCCGTTCACAGCTTTGAGCAACGTGAATAATGGTTTGCGTCTCGCTAGGGTGTCATCAGTCCAGTTGCGCATCTTTATTTCTGCGTGTGCACATGGCTTTTAAAGTTGTCACTAGCGCGGTATTTGGCACAGCTCGGTGTTTATCGTCCTTAACCAGCCCTGCTGCCTGTCAGAGAGCAGGCAGTCACGGTGAGCCACGCCTCTCGTCCATGTGCTTGCTCCTCCAATCGCCTTATCCCGACGCGCACCACACGCTCCGCGTTTTGCATAAAATGTGTATCAGTAGGACAGCGCGCTCTCTCAGGCACATGTAGAGCGCACATGTAGCGTGGCTTTACTGAACGCGAGGCGCGGCCGAATAAGCGCATCAAACTCCCCGCAGCTCCATATCCCCACCAATGAAAACGCATAAAGTGTGAGAGGAGGGGGCGGGGCCCCGTGGGTAATCGGGGGGCGGGGGAGGTGGAGTGGGCAAGCAGAAAAGGGGACTAGTAGATACAAAGAATGAGCCAAATCACCCTCCCACCCCACCCCACCACTCTATGCGCGCAGACACGCGCACGCACACACACACCCACGCATACCAGGCACAACTACTCAAGCTGGGACGAACGGAAAGGCGGTCACATTTCCTATGCTCACCTGCAAACGTGATTGATGTGGGTGTTTGTATCAGTGGGTGTGTATGTCATGTCTGACTCTCTCTCGCCGGTCAGGGATTTGCTGACAGAACTTTCTTGGAAGCTGTGAGAATTGCTCAGTCCTCTCTCGTGCATCGCCGCTCGCAGCCGCGCACTTTGCAGTCGAGGCAGCTTCTCAAAAAAAAAAAAAAGGCATTCAGGTATCTCCCGAGGAGCCAACTTGCAGCAAGGGACCGACTGCCTCTTGACGCACCTGCACCGAGACCCCAGACGCGCACTGAGCGTGTTTTCATCACTTCAGTCTCCGCGCTTTATGGAGCAGGTGTTTTCTGCAGAGCAGTTTTTTTACTTCCTCGTCAGTCTTCACAAGACGTTTGCGCCTGTGTGAAGGCATCCCTTGACATCCGTGAAGTTGCTTCAAAAGTCGTCAGCAGCAACAGGAGAGAGATGGATAACAGTCCTGGCGGTGGTAAGATTAGACTTTACTTTTTTTATTTGTTTTGTTTTGTGTTTTCGCCTTTAGGAGTTTTCTTGTTATGCAGATTATGAGTATTTTTTATCTGAAAGGCAAGTCAGTTATTTAAATTATATAAGGAAATAATAATATCTTTAAAAAAATAATAATAAAATTCAAAGTAAAACATTTTATATTGTATTTGTCTGTATTATTATGACTCATAAATATCACTATTAGTAGTAATAATATACTTCAATTTGTTTAATGAATGAAAGTACTGGATGTTTCTCACGTCGAGCGATTATTCTTCACTCATTCAATATGTTTCGGTTTCCTTTAAAGTCAGTGTCGCTGCATGTGTGTGTAGAACTTCGCCGACTCGAGCGAAGAGAAGCCGCTCGCGGTTGAAGTGAGGTTGACCACTTCCTGTAGTTCTCCATGAAAACAAACTCACGTGGAGCCACAGTCACCAGGCTCTCGCTGCAGTCGCAGGTCCGGCAGCGCTTCATCCGAGCGCAAAGGTTATCCCGCCTCAGGGGTTAAAAATAGAAGCGCGCGCATAAAGGTTGTTTGCGACGTTCAGGCGACTTGATGAAAGTTTGGAGTCGCCCTGTTTTGGCCTCTCTTTTTCTGTTGAGAGGCATTAATTAGGCAGCGGTCTCTCGAGGTCAGCCAAAGGTGCGCGTGCCGTTCGGCTTTCCTCTCCTAATTGGCGGTCAATCATTTACGACGGCGTCACGTTCCAGCGCAGGTGATGCAGAGCATCCCCGGGCTCCCGTCAACATGTTATTCTGACCCGTTTTCTGTTTGAACTGATAAGTGCACGGGTTAGTGGAGCTCACGCGGACGCGGATAGTTTATGACAGCTGTAGTATTCATCAGCGAGTGAAGATGCAGACAGCTTCGGTTGCTTTACGAGCTGTTGCGATTATGCTTCACGTTCGTCTGTGCAATAAGTTTTACAAGTTGCTTTAATTGACCTGGCAATTGTGACTTGTAAACAAATCATCCAAATTTGACCGAGTTACAACCACAGTTGAATTGTAACGTAACTGAACCTGTCTACGTGGTTAGATCGTGTTATTGGAAAATCGATTGAAGCTATTTGTCTTTTAAGATGACATCTGAAATGGACTGTGTGGAACTGAATTTCGAGGAGATTGTTGTCATTGAAAGGTTGTGAGACAATCTTAATATAAAATCAGGCACCGTCAACGATGTGAGAAAAAAAAATAAACATGTAAACTGATTTGTAATAGTTGGCAAAAACATCTGATTTTTGCTTTTTTGACCTGATTGTTCAATTGCACTTGATAAATAAGAGTCAGTCCTTCAAACTTCAGCCTGAAATTTGCTTTAACGCCCTCTGCTGGAGACTCCGTGCATGATAACGAGACATCAACTATTTGATGTTTGATGTTGCAAAATGGGAAACAAACTGACAACCTGAAGAAATGCAATATTTTCAGAGCCGAAAAGTGACTAAACCAAATTATTTGACAATAAATTCCACAACTGTCTTTGTAGGCTCTAGATAATAATAAAAATAAATAAATACACATGATAATTAAATATTAAACAGTAGCTACACGACTGGAATCAAAGCTATGTTGTTACTTTTTTATATTTGTTTTCGAGCGTGGAGGTTACTGTGGGAACTGGGTGATTAAACAATTACTTGTCGGTTAATATCACCAGAAATGATTGGCTCCTATTTACACGCTGAGACAAAAGCCAGATTTCGCCCCCGCTGCCCGGCTGACGGTGCGGGCGGTGCTGCAACCAGCGTACCGTCAGACCACCCTTTTTGCGTGACGCGCCTCTCTGTTTAATGCGGCCCCTTTAATCACAATCACAAGCCCCCTTGGCGCGCTGTGGAGGCTGCGTTTCCTTGCTGGAGCGCAAGTCTTCCCAAAGAAATCTTTGAAAGCCTCCCTCACGTGGCCTTCCTTACAGAGCCGCGTGCCGCGCGTGAGATAGCCGGGCACCTCCTCTCCTTCTCTTCCTCTCCCCTCCCGCCGCCTCGGCCGCTCTCACGGACGCCGCTGCTTTTGATGCCGCCTGCAGCGACAGAGAGGGAGAGCTTGGTCAGTGGGTCAGCAGTTCCGAGCATTAACTCCCCTCCCAACCCTCTCCGGTCACGTTTCTCTTCCGCATGCTCTGTTTGCCTCCCGAACTTCATGCTTTCACCTCCCTCCCTTCGTCTCTCTCTCTCTTTCTCTCTCTCATTTGGATCACGGAATCCGCAGTGTGGTAGAATGTGTCTCGGTTTCCATTCTGCGACATCTGCCCGCATTAGATCAGGGCACACATCCGCTTAGGGTGGGTTTCCGCGATAACGTGACTGCTTCAGATGATGCAGATAAACCTGCAACACATAGCAGATGAATCTGTTGTCATCAAACGCCGGAGCTTATTCCCCGTCTCCCCACCATCCTCGACTGAGCAAATTCTAACCCGATCAAATCCCTTCGACCTGATTCGGTCTTTATGATACGACGCCTATGCTCAGCGTGAGGACATGCGAGTACGCCAGCTCTGCAGTGTGATGGCAACCGCTTTCAAGAGGTGCTAGAGGCACATAGACACAGTTCTACCGAGTTCCTGTGATATTGACCTACTTACGCAAGCCTGTGGTAATGAAATCTGCTGCAAACACCCAAGCGTTCGCATCCAGAAGTGGCACAAAATGGCTCACGGCCTCTCTGCACCATTGGCTCTTGAGCTTTGTGAGCCAAACAGTAAGGGGAGCGTTTTCAAGCACCCCCATCTTGACAGTCACTCTAAAACTTGAAGGTTGAAGGAATGCTGCTGAAGACATTTTCTATTCGAAAAGCTGGCAGTATTGACAGAGAGAGCCCATAAACAGAGGAGCTATGAGTGGGAAAAGCAGAAGTTTTCTCACCAAGCTTGATGTTTATTTGTCAATCTGGTAATCTCCTGAAATCTTTAACAAAGTATAAAATATTCTACAGAGAATACCTGGACAGTATTTTGCTGTCCAAATTGTACAGAAATATACCCCTGTTAGCATTGACCTGGATTTGTCAAGATTTCACCTCCAAACAAATAAAACTGAATAATTTGGTTGCAACTAAAGAATAAAAATGTTAATTATATGCCAATTCATTCATTTCTTCTTTCAGCAAGCAGTCTGGCAGAGTTTGTGTCCAAAGTCCACCAAACACGATCAGGTGCACAGGAAAAAGAAAGAAACAGAAAACAACGTGCTTGACTGTCTGGTTGTTCACGACTCACGTTTCTCCGCCTGCAGTGACAGATTAGTGCTTGCACGAGTAGGCAACTCAAGCCAGACCTACATTGCAGCTGTTTTCATGATAGACAGCATGTCTCTCTTGTTTGTATCAAACTAAAAGTTGAAAAAAAATAAAAAAAATAAGGAGTTTGACTGTTGAACGTTGCGTTCTACAGTAGTTATGTGGGTAATACCTATAGCAACAATTTCTCATAGAACAATGGACAATGGGACATGGTTTAAAAAAAAAAGTTAGAAAAGGAAAAAAAAAATCAAGGTCTTTACCAGCTAATCTGAGCCTAAAGCAAGACAGAGGTAGAAAGAAAACCTACCTTATTTTTAGATAGAAGGGCCTGCAGCAGTAAATTGTTCCTGAATTACCTTATCGGTCTCTTTTATGGTTTCGGAGAAGTCTTGGCACATCATTCTTTACAATGTTTACAGGTCACTGGGGAGTGCACGCATTTGCGAACTATAGCCTCCTAAGGATATTGTCAAGAAATTTCTGGAGATGGACTTTTTTTCAGCTTTTTAGGTGTACATTTGCTGTGTACATGGGATCTGCACCATTATCAAATTTCAGGGAAAAAAAAAGCTTCAAGTAACAGTTACAACTGAGAGAAGAAGATGTTAATATAGACAGAAGTCCATGATTGAAGCAGTAGAAACTTGGACCAGGCTGTGGTATAGAAATACAAACGATCATGTTTCTATTATGTATGATAGTGCTTAATTATCAGGTAGTTAAGCAAGTATGCTGTTGGTTTTTGGAGCCAGTCTTCCTCCTTTGGCCTCATTGCTCTATAAGGCAAACCTAAAGAAGTCTTTTTTGTACATTTTATTAGCTGCAGCAAGGTCTACTGCTAGGAATCCCTCCTGGTTGATACGTTCCATCTTCATTTTTTATTAACTGAAACAAGCTAGCCACAAAACAGTTTTGCTTCTACATATAAAAACATCAAAAATCATCTTATAGTCTTTCTACAAACATTGTTGGCTTACAAAAACAAGCAATAAAGTAGATTTGCTTCATTGCCAACTTGTCTGCCAAATGATTTTCAGTTATAAAAGCCCTTTATTGCCGAGATTATATTATCAACAAACCTCCCGCATGGCTTCTAAAAAGCAGAACGCAAAAAGGGGGTTGTCAATTGACAGTTTCAACAGCCCTTGAGGTCATTCATAAACACAAAGTTAACTGCACATGTGAGTCTTCAGGTGGACATGCAATGTGTCAGGGTGGAGTGGGCGGCTGAGCGTTTGACTGTGCGCATTTTAAGCTCCTGAGAAGTAAGGCAGAGAGGCCTGTGTCTGCTGGATATGACTCTGGCATGAGTCAACAAATCCAGCGACACGTGCTGGCGGAGGGATTATCAAAACAATTGAGCTTGTGCTGTGGAGCCCAAGGGTTGGTTTGTTTCACTTGCAGAGGTCGAAAGGATAACAACCAGTCTTGACTGCACTTTTGACGTGTTGAGTGAAGCAAAGTGCCTCACGTGCATGCGCAAGAATATTAATTACAAGTTTGTTTGTTTTTGTTGTTTTGTTTTGGGGTTTTTTTATAGCCTACGTGTTATTTAAAACATCCTGTTGACATAGAGCACAATTTGGCATAGCCTCCAATACTTCTCGTTCATGAAGTCACCTATGTCTTTGCAAATAACTCGACTTCAATTCCTAAACGTTGCTTCTCTGCGCCAACTCACGCCCTCGGGCGCTTCCCCCAGCCCGCGTTTGTTTATAAACACCCACTTCTCTCCCCCCCCTCCACTCCTTTTTACACGGGACTGCGGATCTGATTCGGGCAGTAACCGTGTCAGGAGTCCATGCATGTGAGGCGGCGGTCAGGTGTCGTGCTGTGAGCTGACGCTGGGCACGGTGCCACGGGAGCGCGGCTATTATTGGAGCGGAGGAGGCAGCGGACCCCGTAAACACGTGAGGTCGCGTCTCAGCTCATCCACAGCGCCTGCCTGGCATGCAGGGGGAAAGGGAAGACGGGAGAAGCGCACATTAAAACAGATCCCGAACAGTGCATGAGCGCGGCAGAAGAATTGTTTACTGACGGTGACGCTCGGATGGATGGCGCATTCAGCGAAAAATGTTGCCAGAAGTATTTTTAGCCCGGTTTATCCGCTTGATCGCACCATTGTGTCCGCTGCACTCAGGAAGCTGCGCACAAACTGATATTTTCTCCGCAAATAGAGCTTTGACGGTATTACATCATCATGCATCCGGCAAAGAGAAGCTGAACCGATTCCAGTACAATAAAATTGAAATAAAATCCGTCGGTTCACTCTTGTTATAAGGTGCTGAAAACATTGTAGATAAAAGAATTGCATTGTAGGGCACTTCTTTGTAAAATGAGAAATTGACAAAATAATAAACCTAAGTTGTGCAGGTCTCAAATGATATTTAAAAATCATTTTCAAAATAGACAATTCCATTTTCATTTTATTTATTTTTTTTGACTGTCCAGAAACCAATATTTGGTGGAAAATGTTTAATTAGAATGTTTATGGTATGCTCTCCAACTGTCTTTTGCAATGCACTTGCTTGCAAGTAATCATCTACTCAGTATATCTTTAAGTAGAATGATGCCTGCTTCTGTTTTATTTTAGCAGACATCGAAATGAAACGGATCGCAAACGTGGTGACCTAATTGCAGTGGTCTGTTACACTTTGCAAGAGACATATTTAGGTCAGAAGAATGAGACGGTCATATTTGGGGGGCGGTGGGAGGAAACAACTCTGTTGCAGTTTTTTATTATATATGATTATGCTGACTATATTACTCTACTAATATCAATATAACATTGTGTTTTAATGCTAATAAAGTGGAAGGTCGAATGACACTGTCAGCATAGATTAGGCATAATGTCTTTCATTCTTCTGTGCAGGTGGTGGAGTCATCCTGTATGCAGGGTCTTCAGGCAGTGCAAGCCCGAGCCCTGGCAGCCCCTCCAGCGGGTACCAAACACAGTCACCCTCTTCCCACTCCCAGCCTTCATCTCCAGAAGAAGTTACCTTCACTGAGATCGGGGCGCTCAGGCAGGGTCGGACGACTGGGGCCAACACCCCGACCTCCAAACTGGTGTTCCAGTTCCCAGAGGTCTTCAGTGCTTCCTCAGCTCCAGCTGCTCCACAGCCACCCTATGCACACCCTATTGCGGGAAAGAGACCCTGTGCGTTTGCGGGAACGTTCACAAGTTAGTGTTTCTTCAGTATTTTTCTGCACAAATATATATATATATCTACATCTACTTCTTAATCCTTTTTCTTTAAATAAAATATCTTGTTTTTTTTTTCCATTTTCAGAGACAGGTGGAATGGTCCTGCTCTGTAAAGTTTGTGGAGACATTGCATCCGGTTTCCACTATGGAGTGCATGCATGTGAGGGCTGCAAGGTGAGACACTTAACAAGAAAAAAAAAAAAAAAAAAATAACAATGTCTTAAGTGTTAAAATTTTCAATGACGCTTACACACTCCTTTTTGTGCCAGGGTTTTTTCCGCCGCAGCATCCAGCAGAACATCAATTACAAGATGTGCGTGAAGAACGAGAACTGTCTGATCATGCGGATGAACCGCAACAGATGCCAGCACTGCCGCTTCAAGAAATGCCTCTCCGTCGGCATGTCGAGAGACGGTGAGGCACCCTGACATATTTCTGCTTAATGAGAGAAACTCGTGTGGAGCTGCCAAAATGTCACAGTGTTCTGATTAGCCAAAGCAGCAGAGAAATGGACAGCCAGAAGCCAAGTCAGGGCTCATATGTAGGTCTGTGAGAGAGAAGGCTTTTCAGGTCATCGTGCCAGTGGCTCAATTACTTTCCTTTCTCAATGTAGGACCTGCACCTGTCATTCACTTTTATTTTGTCACCATATTGCCACAAAACACCTGGCTTTGTATCACCCTCTTAAATTTCTACGTGTCTTTTTGCTGCCCTTTGCAGCATCCTCCCACAACACATTTACCTTTATCCTCTCATTCCCCCCACCTCCTCCATGTTCCTATACACTGTTCCCTTAGCTCTCCTACACTCCTCCTTCAGACAGTGATTTATGAGAAAAGGAGCCCTGAAGTCCCTCAAGCTATCTATCATGTGAAAAACTGCAGCAAACACAGGAATTATTTTGGGAAATTGGAACAGGGTCAGCTTGATTACCTTGTGTATGTATGCACATCTCACTGCCGTTAATGAGGAACAGGGCAGCAATTAAGCAAAGCATGCAGAAAGCATCATTGTGACAGGGTTCCTCGGGCACGGCTCTCCTGTTACATGATTTTACCTCTGAAAGCTGAGCTTGAATTGATCACCTATCATCTCACATTAAAGGAGCACTTTGGTTGACCTAGAAAAACAATACAGATTTGTCCCCATCGTCTACTCACACATCGTGACCTACTTGTATGGTGTAGTTTGCCTGTTTTCTTCCTCTCGGTATGGTTTCTGCTTATCTCCGTCCTCCAGCTCTCTGCATTGCCTAATCTAGTAAAGAGGTTAGTGTTATTTCTGCATGTGCTTGACACTTCTAGTGCACAGAGAAAATTGGGTGGCAAAACTGCAGCTCGACTACGAGATAGTCGGGCCGACCCTCTGAGGGGGAAGATTTTTGAAAATGTTCAGGACCACAACCTAGAAACCCCTTTTCTTCTCTGTTTCAACCATTACGAAAACAGGAAAACCACATGCAACTGCCTGCAGCCCACAATAAATAGTACACCCTGATTTCACTCCAGCAGGCAGCTGTGCGACTCAGGCTCTGAAATAAGCAAATGTCACAAGTCCGTTGGTAGGGTGGCACACTTTTTCTTTCTCTAACTGGAGCATCATATTCAGAGCAACAGCTCATTAGTTTGCATTTGTTGAAGCATAATAAAAGGGGTCCAAGCACACATTGCATGCATCCCTCTCAAAAGTTCCTGCAGGTGACAGCATATTTGCTAAAAGCAGCAACACTTGGCCAAAATACACTTTACCTAAAGTATCATTAATATGGAATTTAAAGAAAGAGTTCAATACACAGAATGACAAAATAGTTCATTGAATCACTATTGCCTAATTATAGATTTACTTGGAACTCTGCATAAAGAAAGAGTTGTGCTTTCCTGGATCTCAGTGATGCTTTCAACACAAATGATCATAACATAGTGATTGTCTGATACTGTGTTAGATTGGTTGAGATCTTATTAAGAATATCACTGCTGTTTTATTTAATTCGGTGATCTTAGGTATGAGCAAACAAAAAGTCCATTTGGTGTTCCTCAAGGCAGAATTTTAGGGGAACTTTTAACTATTTAATACTCACAAACTACACCTATATTAGGTTAAGGAGTACAAGTACTCTCACCTTAGCTGGCGACAACAACTTTATATTTGTGTCACCACATCAATAAAATCTATTCCAGTCGTCACCACATTGTTCCCATGCTGATACAGAAAAGGGAAAAAAAGTGTTATTTTTGTTATCATATTAAAAAAAATTGATGCTATGGATAAAAACGCATCAAGACCTTATAGCATGCAAGGAACCTGTCTGTCCGTCCGTCCATCCATCCATCCATCCATCCATCCATCCATTCAACACACTTATTCCTAGTGGAGAGGGGTCCTGCTCCCTATCTCCAGCAGTTATCCTGAGAGAGGCGGGGTACATCCTGGTCAGGTCACCAATATTTCAGAAACCTAGATGTTGTTATGGACTCTGACCTAAATTTTTGCCAAATGTAAATTTTGTTATTATTATCAATCAATTATTTTTAAAACATAAACAAAATTAACTGAATTTAAAATGTTACCCAGAATAAGACACAAAAACTTAGTGCATGCCTGTATTTTTGATAGGGTAGGTTAATGTAGTAGTTAGTATCTTTAGTGGTCTCTGCAGCAGCACATTCAAAGTGTTGCTGCCAGAGTCGTGACCAACTCCAGAAAGATGAATCACATCAAACCTGACCTCAAATCACTGCACTGGCTCAATTTTTGTAGAAAGATAGATTATAACGTCTTTTTTACGTATTTATTTTAATTATTAATTTACATATAATTGCGCAACATGAACTATGTTGATCTCTGGGGTCATCAGAAACAGTGTTCATGACTTTAGATTGGAAGACAGCATTTAGTTTCTCTGCTCCTCAGTGAAGCAAACAAACAAAAAAAAACCTGTGATGCTAAAGGAAACAGAGTTTTGTTTCACCCTTCACCATGTCAGTGCCAGCATCTTTTAGCTATTTATTTTTTTTAAATTTTCATTTTAAAGAGTCTGTCATTATTTGACATTTACACTGAAATTTACACTTTAAATATATATCTTGTTTTTAACAGTATCTTTACTGCTGCTTCATGTAAAGAATGGTGCTATTGATAATAACCTACCCTGCCTTGTCTTACTTGCAAAAGTCTTTGAAGTTGCACCAGTTCAACTTTTTCTTGCCTTATCAGACTCAATCTTGTGGGTACACACAGACACACTGTCCCAGACTCTCTCTGTCTTACTTTCCTTGCTTCGCCTTCTTTTATGTCAACCTTTTCACTTTTTCCTTTTGACTGTCTCCTCAACTCATATCTGAAACTTACTTGTCTCCCCTCTTTTTTTTTTCCTCCGACACCTTCATACCATTGACATCATACTCACGTTGCCCCACTGCCCTACTTGCAGTTTGAAGGGAGGGAGAACTGGGGGAACAGGAGAGAAGGGTTGGATGGAGAGGAGGATGAGGCAGATGGCAGCAGGGGGGCTATAAATAGCCTTTCCAGCTGATGGGTTCTATGAGGAGGGAGAGGTCGGGATACGAGGGAGAAAACAGCAGAGACTCAATTCGAATCTTTACGCGATTTTGATAGTGAAGTCTGAACGATGACAGCAGATTGCAGTCTGGTGTTTCCTTAACAATACTTTCCTCTCCTATCAGTGGAGCTTTTGTATCTTTATAATTTTAGTCGTTGATGATTTTCTGAAATTGCACAGGTGCAACGGGACCATAAAAACGTGGTCCTACTATTATTTAAAAGCAGAAAAAAAATGCAGAATGCCCAAGTTGCCCAGTCCAAGTTTTAATGTTTTCCCTGTAATCTTTATGTCATCCTTAGCTGTGCGTTTTGGGCGCATTCCTAAACGGGAGAAACAGCGACTTCTTGACGAAATGCAGAGCTACATGAACAGCCTGAATGAGTCAGCTGCCATGGAAATGGACTCTTCAGTGAGGGACAGTACCACCAGCACAGATGAGTGCAACTCAAAAGAGGCCATTGGGACCATTTCCAAAGCCTATCGGGACATCTTCACCGGCAACAACAGTCACGAAAGATCATCCAACAGGGCCAGCATTTCCACTTCCAGCAACAGCAACAACAACAACGCATCTACCTTTTCTCAGGATGGAGGTTTCCAAGCATCATCGCATACCAACTCCAGCCAGAGTTATCAGTCGTGCCCTGTCTCCCATGAAACCAAGTGCCCCTTTGCCTCTAATGATAACCAACCTGTGTTTCACAAAGTGGACAACAATCAATATTCTTATTTAGTGTCAACAAATCAGAATCATAACCACGCAAATGCTGCAATGGGGCAAAGAATCAGCTCCACCAATCATAACAGCTTTCCCTTTGGAGAAGTCGCCCAAAACCAGCCCTCCACCTGTCCGTGGAAATTAGCACCGGGAGCTAAAGTCCTGGTAAGTGTGAGAATTGAACAAATATATAATTAAATGTTATCTCATTTGACCAGCAATTAATAGTTTTGTGGGGTTTTTTGGCGTTTCTCTTCCAGGCCTGCCCTCTCAATGCGTGCCCTGTATCAGGAGCAGAGCGAACAAGTCAGGAGATTTGGGAGTCCTTTTCTCAGTGTTTCACCCCTGCTGTGAAAGAAGTTGTGGAGTTTGCCAAGGGCATCCCTGGGTTCCAAGAACTGAGCCAACAGGACCAGGTCATGCTGCTAAAGTCCGGCACCTTCCAGGTAATCTTAATCACATATTTTGTTATTTTGCGAACATTAAATGCAAAATATGTGTCTTACTCCTTGCACACCATAGATTTAGGTTTTTTCTAAAATTTTCAAATGATTTGTGTGTTTAGGTACTCATGGTGAGGTTTTGCACTTTGTTCAATGCTGAGCAACGTACAGTGACCTTCCTCAATGGCCAAACGTACCCCCTATCCACTTTGCGAGTCTTGGGCATGGGGTCTCTTCTGGATGCGATGTTTGAATTCAGCGAGAAGCTGGGCTCCCTGGGCCTGGAGCCTGATGAGATGGCCCTGTTCATGGCTGTGGTGCTGGTTTCTGCAGGTGAGACAAAGAACTGATATACTTATAGTCTCATGCAAAAGTGATCATTATTGCCATTAGGAACTCAAACTTGCATTTATTCTGTTGGGAGTCTAAGTGATGGAGCATTACAAACCAACATTAGAAAAAACTAGTTTGCATTTGAGCCCTTTTATTCTGATACTCCTAAATAAAATCAAGTACAACCAATTACCTTCAGATATCACTTAATTAGTAACTAATTAGTCTACAATTAATTACAGCTGTTATGTGAAGGCCTTTGAGGTTTGATATCTCACATTAGTAACCAAAGAACATCAATTAAGGTACATACCAGACAGTTAGGGGGAAAGAGTAGTGGGGGAAAAAAATATTGTTCATCAATTGACATGGTGATGGTGGTTGCATTATCCTGTTAAGGTTATTTTCCTAAGTAGTGGAAACAGACAGAGCTGATGGGAAAGTAAATAATGCTAATTACAGCACAATAATGGAGGAAAACCTTGCCATTGGATTGGAGGACAAAAACCCTCAAATCAGTAGCCACAACTACAATGCAATGCTTTGTATCACAGCATATTCATGTGTTCAAATGGCCTAGTTATAGTGTAGACCAAAATCCAGCTGAGAATCTGTGACAAATATTGATGTTCACAAATGCTTTCTGTTTAATCTGACTGACATTGAGCGATTTTCCAAGGAAAAGTGGATAAACATGTTAGTATTCAGATGTGCAAAGCCACGAGATAGTTTAAAACTTTTAAAATAAATTTGAAAGAAAAATGCAAAACTATTGAATATTTTCTTCAGACGATTACACTTCACAATTGCAATAGGCTATCCCTCATGATATCACATTCCAGTCAGATATATATTATTTGTGGTTGGAAATTGAAAAAAAAAAGTGAACAAGTTGAGGAGGTATTAATACCGGTACTTTCGCAATGTGCCGAATATGCTGCAGTGCAATGAGAAATTGTTTCTGAAATAGTGGGACTATAAACGTTCACTGTAAACAACTGACATTGTGAATCTCCGTTCCTCGCAGACCGTTCTGGCATCGCAGACATGAGCGCGGTGGAGCAGCTACAGGAGGGCCTAATCCGCGCCCTTCGGTCACTGATCAGTCGCCGACGCCCAGACGACTCTGCCCTCTTCTCCAAACTCCTACTGCGCCTACCGGACCTGCGAACCCTCAATAACCTGCACTCCGACAAACTGTTGGCCTTTCGCATTGACCCATGAGGAAGAGACTTGAACTATACACACAGATTTTTTTTTGATCCAAAGACTGGACTTCCTTTAACTGCGAGGGACGAGATGTTGTGCAATAAGAATGTTTTTGAAAAGGACAAATGAGGGGAATAAACTTATTTCTCACAGATTTTTGACATATATGCAATGTTTTTGAGACAAAAGACAAAAAGAAAAAAGAAAAAAAAATCCATAAAATTCATGTACATAAATTACTCTCATCACCTCATAGCAGACATTATTCCAGATAAAACTTAATTAGTAGAGTTGCAGATAGAATGTTGGACAGATCATTTGTTTATTTGCTCATTATATGGAGTGTAGGCTGAAAATGATCCTAGTTCACATTGTCCATTTACATTCATGTAATATCACCGGAACAGCACTAAGCAGCAACTGAAAGATGAATATTGTAGAATAACACAATAATTAGGGACCACTGGTGATAAATGATCAAGTATTGAGTTGTATTTAAGGCAAAAGGGAACCTGTATATATATTATAGTGAAGTCAGAGCTATTAAGATAATTATGTATTTCTGTTTCACAAATATGCCATCTGAATTAAGACCATTGTTTTGACGTGTCATTTGTGCACAATAGGATTTGGTCTGTTGCACATTTGTATACCAGAGATGGAGTTGAAATATCAGAGGCTTTTTGTATTATTTCGCATATACATTCTGTCTGGATCACTGCACTTCCTCACATATGGACTGATAGAGACACTCCCCTCAAATTGAACCGTAAGGCTTCTTCGTTTAATTTTGTCACTTTGTAAATATTATGTTACCCTGTTACGTAAGTATGATTTGCTGCAAAGATTCAAAGGACTGAGTCTGATATAAAGACGAATGTATTCGACCTTCCTGTAACTCAGTGAGGGGTCTGGCTTTACTCCTAAGAGGCAAAGCACAGGTGAATGTGTTGAAGGGAATTCTCAGATTCTTGGGCACACTTCCAAATATTAGACGATGTAACCAAACAGCATAACCCTTGATGTCACCAGCACTTAAAGCTCACAAACCCATCCTCTGCCCCCAATGTTTGTCATACAAACAAAAGAGATATTTTTTGGCAGGGAGATTGAAGTTGTTCCTCCCCCTGTTTGTTTGATTATGGCTAATGTCCACATCTTGTACATTTTGTAAATTGTTTTATTCCTCCTTAATAAAAGTGATACAATGACATAAAGTTCGAAGTGTACTTTACTATGTTTCTGTGTCCATTTCACATTTATTTTGAGAAATATTAGCTAAAAAGCATTTACCTTCAGGATGTAGCTTATTTATATCTAGTTCTATCAGAAAATATAGTTAATCTGAGTATGACCAGACGTATGTGTAAAATAAGCTATACAGCAATCCAAACTATATAGCATTCACTACGATATGGAATTATTGCCGTTAAACATCTTTAAGGATGTTATTGAAAAAATAGACATTTTTCCACTCCCTCCATGTTATGATTCAGCAATAATGTAAAGTTTAGCTTTAAAATTAATAAATGCTAGTAATTCCAACTAAATAAGGCAAAGTAATATCAAATTAATTAACAAGAATTAGAGTAACATAAGGTTAAGGTAAAGAAAAATAAGCTGGAGTAAAATACTAAAGTAGAGTTATATCTAAGTCGAGTCGATCATTAACTAAAGTGCAATTGCAAGATAGGACAAAATTCAAGAAAATTAGGATGAAAAAGTAAAATCATGAGATATGAAATGAAGCTAATTAAATAGAATTAAATTTAAGGATTACAGTAAATGGGTTTGTTTTTTTCACCAATGATGCAGGGGGAAAAAATGGCTCAGAAAAAACCGGTTATACCACGTGACAGGAACTGTCTACAAACTTAAGTGAAAAAGTTGAATACGAGCGCCATCTGCTGGTGACATAAAACAAACATTGGATCCAGGAAGAGAAGGCTGTGTTTGCTCATGTATACTTGCTACAATCCTAGGCTATTGCTGAGTTGTTTAGTGCTAGCCATTAGTAAATTGTACATTTAATATGGGACCGGTGTTAACCGATATGGTAAGCAATTTTACACTCTATAATTTTGATGCCAAAAATATTCGGCTTATTGCATTGAAAACACTCGCTTTTATCTTGGTAGTAGCACGTTAGCTCACATGCTAACGACAATTGGAACAGGAAATGTTAGCTGTAGATTCACTGAACTTGCCTGTCCATAATTAGTCTTTCAGCTTTTTATACACGTGAACCTCATGTTTGTACCAGTTGCAATCAGCTGTTTTTGGCGTTAGGTGAGCAAAGTTAATGAGTGAAGATAGTATTATTAGTGATAAAATAACATGGTGAATATTTTTTTATTCAGCAGAACCTCTGTTGTGTTTTTTCTCAGTTCCAGAAGAACAGGAGGAAAATAAATGGGAAAGTTGAAACTCTGTTTTGACTAACTGTATGCAGCACTCCTCAAGATGTTGGTGACTGCTTACTTTGCGATAATTGTCCTGCTGGCCCTGTGTGTTGGCTTGGAGTTCACAGCACGCCGCCTCACACCACCTCAGTCCACTCCTACTGCTGTCGCCAACCCGGCTTTCCGTCGATTCCAGGGCATATTTCTGCGGGCCTACCTGCTGGCCTTGTGGGCAGATTGGCTCCAGGGTCCTTACCTCTACAAACTGTACCGCCACTACAGCTTCCTGGAATCTCAAATTTCCATTTTGTACGTTTGCGGCCTGGCCTCCTGCGTCCTGTTTGCTCCGTTTTCAGGCTGGCTGCCTCAGGTCCTGGGCCGCAGACAAACATGTCTGCTCTTCTGTGTGTCCTACTCGACCTGCTGTCTCACCAAGCTCTCCAGGGACTATTTTGTTTTGATTGTGGGCCGCATCCTGGGGGGTCTGTCCACATCCCTGCTCGCCACCACGTTTGAAGCCTGGTACGTGCACAGACATTTAGATGTCCATGACTTTCCCAAAGAATGGATCCCCAGCACCTTTAATAAAGTTGCTACCTGGAACCATGCCCTGGCTGTGGGAGCAGGGCTTGTAGCTAACTTGCTGGCGGAGTGGCTTCACTTGGGACCAGTGGCTCCCTTTCTGCTGGCTGTGCCCTGCCTTGGCTGCTGTGGCTGGGTGGTACTAACAGACTGGGGTAAGGAGGAGGCTGAAAGAGGTCCTGAAGGAGACAAACAGACTCTGATGCTTGGCGCTGCAAGTGGAGGTGTCATTCGTTTGTCTGCTAAAGAGCGATTTTCACGCAGTTGCCACGAGGGACTCCGTTGCCTGCTGTCAGACAAGAGAGTCCTGCTCTTAGGTGGCGTGCAGGCTCTGTTTGAAAGCGTCCTCTACATATTTGTCTTCCTATGGACTCCCGTGCTGGACCCTCATGGCCCCCCTTTAGGTATAGTGTTCTCCTGCCTCATGGCGGCCTCTATGGTGGGGTCCCTGCTGTACCGCTTAGCCACTTCTAGTCGTTATCATCTGCAGCCTGGTCAGGTGCTCTGTCTCGCCATTCTGATGGCCTTCTTCTCATTTTTCATGTTAACTTTTTCCACTGCGCCGGGACAGCCGAGGCCTCACGATTCCTTCCTGGCCTTCCTGCTGCTGGAGCTGGCGTGCGGCCTGTACTTCCCGGCAGTCAGCTTTCTGCAGGGAAGGGTGATCCCAGAGGAGAAGCGTGCCAGCGTGCTGGCCTGGTTTCGGCTACCGCTGCACCTGCTGGCCTGCTTGGGACTACTGGCGCTCCACGGAGAAATCTCAGGAACAGGAGGTGGGGAGGGCGGAGGCGGCACCAGACACATGTTCGGAGGCTGCGCCATCATGATGCTGGCAGCTCTGATGGCCGTTATTAGTCTTTTCACCCTGAGCAGGAATGACACTGATCTGAGACTGGAGGGATGCAGAGGGGAGGGGGATATGGAATGAAGACTTGGGCCACATATCAATTTAAGATTGTGTGATTTAAATATGTAATTTAGTCAGACTTGACTGGGATAGACTTTAGTTCACTTTTGCCAAATAAAGGAAAGGGTTGTCAGTAAATTCAGTGTAGTTTCAGTTTTTATGTTTGCTTGTTATTACTTGTTTGGTTATTTATGAATGCTGTGCATCCTTTGTGTTTAAGGATGCTATGGGAAAACATCTGGCTTCATTTATCAAACAAATTCCTAAAATGCTGCACTGCTTCTGAGTCTTTCTAGAAATGATTTCAGGTTCTTATACATCGCTCCAAACGTCCATTCATAGGATGCAATCAGATAAATACAATTCAAAACCTTCATAAGGTTCAGCAGTACAGGCACTTTATGGGGAAAAAAATGGAAGTTTAGTTTACTGAGGCTTGAAGGTATATGTATGGAGCTAAAGGCAATATTGGCAATCTATAACTTTGTCTTTTCAGTTTCATATGTAACTTTTGCCTATTTTTTGTCCATGTTTCTGTTCTTTATAATTTAAAATAAAAGGTGGAATGTAAGAAACTTGTATTTGATTTATTCTAAGTTCTCAAAGTTTGCAAATAACCACTGACCTTTCTCACATACCCACTACAAACAAAGTATTGTATGTGATAGACCAACAAAAGTAGCAAATAGCTGCTTTGATAACCACCTTTTGATGCAATTCCAGCCGCTAGTCCTTTTCTTGTGGTGAGCATTTAGGGTATTTTCCTACCTATTTAGCACATCTAGAAAATGATGTTGGTGGCCATTCGTTACCAAATAACCCAGATGCATTCATATCAGATATAAATCATTACTTTTGAAGTTTTACCCCCAAATTCTCAGTTGAATCAACATCTGGAATTTGGACCACTCTCAGGTTTTCCTTTTATGACCTACTGATATCTGGTCCTTTACATCTTCCGTACATGTGCTGAAGAAAAAAATCCCATGGCATGATGCTGCCACATGTTACTGTATGAATGCTGTATTCAGAGTAATACACAATGAGGGTTTTTTGTTGTTGTTGTTGATTTTATGCAAGTCATTTTGTATTTTGAGCTAAACAGCGTACTTTAGGCCTGAACAGGCTGCCATACTCTGGGACTCAATGGAGTCTGCTCATTAACTATGTGACTTCTGAAGTCAATGCACAGCAATAGACTTTATGGTATGAGAGAGGGATGAATATGCCTTTTTTCACCTTTAAAATTACCTACTTTGTGCTGGTCTGTCACAAAAGTAGGTCTAAATACTGCTAATAAATCATGAAATTTTACATTTGATTTTAATTCCATTTAGCATGAAAGTCTATTTTGACTCATTCATATGCAGTAGGCCAACTTAATTTAACAGAAAATATTGGTGCCAACTCTGATGTAGAGCTTTACCCCGCCCCCACAAGGAAAAAATAATAATAAAAAATGTGGTTGTGCAACAACTCCCCACTCCACCACCTCTGCTGCAGACCCCATTTCTAGATTCCTCTGGACTTCCAGACCTCAAAACGCATCACGCGGGTCTCATGCCGCCGGTCCTCCCCCGCTTTCAGAGAGGCTGTGGTACGGTCCCGGTTCTCGTCTATGGAGCGGCTCTCTCTGGATGCTGCTGGAACATCCCTGCGTGGCTGCGGGAGGGGCGTCCGCACAAGTGGAAAGTGCGATGTTTTGAGATTACATCAGTGCGTCATCGGAGCCCCGGTTTTCAGTCTCGTCAGACAGCAGGGCGCATAAAAAGTCCCAAGGCCCGGTCTCCCAGCCAGTGTCGGTTCACTTGCATTGGCAAGGAAGAAGACACCAGATCCCCACCTGACTGACTGACTGGCAAGGAAACCAATACAAGCAGCCGACGGAGTAAAGACAGGCATCATGACACAGGGCAAGGTATGAATGAGCTGTCCTTCTCTTCTGTTGTTGTCTATGTTGTTATTGTCTCTCTTTTCCTATTGTCTTTCATTCTATCTATCTATCTATCTATCTATCTATCTATCTATCTATCTATCTATCTATCTATCTATCTATCTATCTATCTATCTATCTATCTATCTATCTATCTATCTATCTATCTATCTATCTATCTATCTATCTATCTATCTATCTATCTATCTATCTATCTATCTATCTATCTATCTATCTATCTATCTAAATGATCCTGCTGCTAAAGTGACACTGAATGAATGTCGTTCTTTACTAAAGCCTGTTTTATAGTTCTGAATGAAATGCGTCATTGGTTGTTTAACCCGTTACATCACCGTGAGCCCTCCACTTCTTCCTAGAGCTC